AAAACACCAAGAAAATATGGGTCAGATAGCTGCTGACAGAGATTCTATGGGAGAGGTTGTCCCGAAAGCACCCTGAAGACTCAGAAGTTACTGAAAGAGCAACTAGAAAGTGGTTGGTTGCAGAGATAACAGTCAAAAAAAGAAGAAAAACCCACAGAACATCTTTTAAGAGTCAGAACATTGAGCTGGTGTTGGGGTCAAGGAGTTGTTATCTGTTTTTTATCTCCAGGTATGATTACTACCTTTGAGATGAGAAAAGATTAGTTTTATGCTATAATAAGGTTGTGGTAAGGAACAAGACTCTTGAAACTATGAAGAAAGGAATCAAAATATCATATTACTTCAGTGTTAGGGTTTTTCTTTTGAAGATTGAGAATTCTCCTATGTTTGACCTTAACAGGTTTTCATGGAACTTGAATTAGTTCCCCACAGCAGGTGTTCTGGATGTTTCCTACCCTCTTCTAGCCGCTAACTCACAGCAGACAGTCTTGCTTTACTGAAAAGACATACGCTTTCCTTCTACCCTTCCATTGTCCTCTGCTTCCTCTGGACCTCTATCTTTAACCTCTCTTACAAACCAAAAACCAAAACCAAACCCACTGCCATCGAGTCAACTCCTACTCGTAGTGACCCCATAGGTTTTCCAAGACTGTGACTCTTTACTGAAGCAGATTGTCACATCTTTGTCCCTCGTAGCCACTGGTAGTTTTGAACCACCAATCTTTTGGTTAACAGTCAAGCGCTTTAACCACTGCACCACCAGGGCTTCTTAACCTCTCTTACCTCTGGCTAATTCCGCTCAGCCTAAGAGAAAGACTTGCTTGACTTTATACCCCACAGTACTCTCCATCCTTCATCATCACTTTCTCAGAAGTGCAGTCCACCCCCACTGCCTCATCGCCCATTTCCTGCAAAATTCTCTGCCATTTGACTGCTGAAGCGATTTTCTCAGAGCCCTCCAATGACTCAGTAGCATTTCTCTGTTGTCACACTCTTCCACGACTCTTACCTGGGGGCGGTTATGTGTATATGCACGTGTTTATCTATTTGGCGTAAGCTTATGTGTGCTGGTACCCTTATTACCAATTTGAGAGACAAAATGGATTTTTCTCCTGTTAGAATGTCAGGTAGGAAGAAGACAAATAGAGGAGAAGGATCCCCAAGCTACAGGTAACCCATCAGGACCTGCTACTAAGAAATGAGCAGAATTAAATTACGATAAATGCAAAACCGGCCAAATCCCCTGATAAAATCAAAGGTTAAAAAATCACATTGTGTCTTCTCTCCTTCCTATCCACGTGGTGTCTAGAATGTTCCCCCCATACTGTCACAGAAGGCTTATCTAAACGGGCATTGCTTTTTAGCCTAACCTTGGGCTTGAGGTGTGCTTACAAGCCCAACAAGGTATGGGCAGAGCTGGTATGAGCCTAGTCACAGCTGTTTTAAGAGATTCTCTCCTCAAAAAGTGTCACAAAGAGTTTTGGACATCATGTGTAAGATTGAGCCCTGCCAGCGAGCTAATTAAATGTGTTTTTCAAAAGCTCCAGGCTCAGCAGCGGAGTGGGTGGCTAATTTCCTGACTCACCTATTCGACTCACTTACGGGCCCAGCAAATATTCCCTCTTGTAGGGCACACTGCCTGGCTTTATTTCGAAACTGTTCCATTTTTTCCCAGGGTAGATAGGAATGTGCAAAGTAATAGCTTTCTCTTTTGTGTGGGATATCATTTATGAACTGGACTTCAGTTCTTGGTGCGAAGGGAATCGTGGGAGAGTCAGAGCACTTTTAAACAAAACTGCCTATTCAATTAAAAGCCCTTCCTCCCAGAGGCTCAAAGCTCTCGTTGAAAAGATGCAGAGTACATCCGCAGAGGGCAGAGTGGACTCAGAGTGGAACCCTGGATTTTACACCCCTATTCATGGCCTATGACGTCTCCCTGGGGGTGGAGATGAGCTTCAAGTCATCCCAGAGCTGGGAAATACAAGCAAACAGCCTTAGAGACCAAAGTCAATAGTAGAGGTGCCATGATAGAATTTTCTAGCTTAAGAATAATTTTACATTTAGAATCCTAGCAAAAGGAAAATGCTAATAATTAAAACCTACCATTCAAACCCCTGGTTTTGATTAGATGCAGTGTCTTGATTCTATCCAAGAAGAAGGAGGTTACTTAGCGGAGCTACTCGCTACCCGACTCCCACCACTACCTGCAAAGGCTAAGGGTTGTGGCAAATGTGAACAGCTATACACTGGTAAAGAGTAGATTTCTGCCATTCTACCTGTTTGATTAAGGACCTATTCAGCTAGAATAATGAGTTCATTCTATGCCTGGTAAAGTGGGATCTGGCCAATTGTCATTCTGATTCATGACCTTTTATTTCTGTTGTCTCTTCTATCCCAAAGCTGGTTGTTTAGTACAGCACTCCTTTCTCTAGAGTGATTGTTAGTAAATGAAAATCTATTTACAGAAATGCACGATGCATTTGCTTTCCAGCCGACTTTATGTTCAAGCTTAAGACCAGGTTTGGCAAATGCACCCCTTGTGTATTTCATGCTCCCTTTTCTCCACTCCCCTTAGCTGTAGTGTTCTTCTGGGATCGCTCATAACCTGTCTTCTCTTTCTCCAGCCTTTGCCCAGGCAATCCCAGCCATTCTTACATTCTGTCTATGGACTTGTAACCTCCAATTTTTTTTCTTCCGCCTTAAATTCTGTGTGAATGCCAGCCTTTTATTTCCAGCTTTCTTCTTGAAATCTCTGCTTGAAACTCCACCTATTTAACATATTCAAAACCAAACTCACTGGATTCCCCTTCCCCAACACTAATTTCTTTTATGCTGCCCCATTTACCAATTACCCAAGATTGAAACCCAGAGTCTCACCTTGCTGTTTCCAAGGCAACAAGACCACCAATTCTCCATCCCAAATATCTTAGGGTGCAGTCTCTGCTCTCCTCGCTGACATCACCTTTCTTTCATTCACTTATTAAAGGCTTACTATGTTCAGCACTGTATAGGGTCACTATGAGTCAGAATCGACTTGACCACACACAGCAACAACGACGTGTTCAGCGCTGTGCTAAGGGCTAGTGACGCGCAGAGGAAGATGAAGACCAATGAGTAAGTGAAGTAGACAGCACTGTGGTCATTGGCCTATCAGAACCCAGGACAGTGGGTATGCAGGGTGGAGCCATCTTTGGGGGGCCTGAATCCAAAGATGGCTCTTCCGTGTCTTGGTGCAACTCATCTTGCTGGAAGTATTGGGAAAGCCTCCAGTCATGTGTCCATCTGCCCTCTGCACTGCTGCCTGTGTTTTATTTCCAAAGCTCAAGTCGGATTGTGTCTCACCTCTGACGAAAGCCTTCCCGTGACTCACTCCCATTGCAGCAGGACAAGCTCCCAACTTGTTGATACTACTCATAAAACCTTCACATTCTGATCTCAGCCTCTCTCTCTTGCTTTCCCCCACTCCCATAACCCTCTTTTTTATGGCATATTTACTAACTGCACAATTTTTGGAATAAGACTTTTCTCTCTCACTTGCTGTTGAAAACTCCTTGTATAACCTACCCCAACATTTTCAGGAAGAGTTTTTTGTTTCCTCTTCCGAACTCTTATAGCAGTGTCATATACCTTTATTATAGCACTTATTAGACACCACTGTAATGATTTATTTGGGACCCAAGGAAGGACAACTCGTTTTTAGTATGCATTTACAGTAACACTTTGATATTCAGCTGGTTTAATAAGCTGTTCCAATGGTTTGGAGATGGGTACAGCTGCTCCACAAACCTGGACATTACTCTGAGCAGGGGTGTTAGGGATGTATTAGGTCAGGTTGGACCTATTCTCTTCCAGAACAATTAATCAAGTCACCAAGCAAATTGGCCAAATATTGTTCATAGAAAAGAAAGCAAAGATCAGAAATGAAAATGCCCACTCTACCTTAAAAATTTACCATTAGTATCTCAACCACCCTCTTTCCCTTTTGGCAATCAATTAAATGGATCTTCTTCCTAATGACTGCTGTTCACACTTTACATAACTGTTGTAGATATCAAGACACTGAATGGTTTTGATGAATACAGATAATCAGTGTGTGGTCATTCACTGGCCTGATGTACTCACAGAAGCTCAGTGCAAGTCCACAGCACATAGTAACCATGTAGCAGGTCAGCAGAAACAAGTCCTGAGGTGCCACTCTTAGGAGCTTCCATCATCTTCATAGATGAGTGTGACCTCACTCCCAGAGAGTGAGAGCCAGCTGTTGACCAGCTCTCCGTTTACAGAAGCAGGCACTGCAACAACGTTCATTCATTCATTCACTTAGTCACTCGTGCATCAGACACTTAGTGAGTATTTCACAAGTACTGTATGATATAAAGATGGGCCCTATCCCCAAGAAGCTCACAGTCTGTGCCGTGATAAGTTCTGTGATCTGAACCAAAAGCAGTGAGCCTAAAGAAGTGAGTGGAGTCTCTGCTGAGGGAGTGAGGGGGACAATCGAATAAATTTTGTACCAGTAATTATATGATGTGAGTGTATGTGCTTATGTGTATGAGGAAGGGCAGGCTGGTGGCAGATGGATGAGAAAGAAATTGAGGTCCTCATAGAGGGAACCAAAGTGCAAAGGTATTTGGGATACTCTATGATGTTCTTGGGAAATTATGGCAAGCAGTTCAGTGTGGCTTCAAGGAGACAGTGAAGGGTCGATGGGGCTGGAGAGGGACAGAGGGAGACATTGTTGGGAAGGTAAGCAGGTGCAGATTGTAGAAGACATATGAAGTAGTTCCAACTTTTTCTGTAAGCAATGGGGAGAGCAGAGAAATCTCTAAGCAGGGGAGTGACATGATCAGATTGTTTTTGGTATAAAGGTCTCATGTCAGTATAAAGGATGGATTTGAGAAGATCAGCATTAAATGAATGCCTTTTAGAGGTGACCACAGCTTATGAAAACTCCCTGGCTGTTTCCCAGCTAACTCTGCTGTATGTGCGTGTTTTCCTAGTGACGGTGCTGGCCATTTTCCATGAACTGCACGTTGACCTCGACCTGTACACACTATTGTTTGGGGAGAGTGTGTTGAACGATGCGGTGGCCATAGTCCTCACATAGTAAGTACCACTACTTTGTGTACTTTTCTTTTACCATGTGAAATATGCTTCTACTTGGAGATAATTTCTGATGGCTTTAAGAAGTATCTTTTCTCGTATGTCATAGAGATAGAGGCAATTTCTAGCTTTTAAGGAATTGTTATCACAGAAAATCTCCATAATGGGCACAATTCACTGGGCACCGAATTTCTAATACTATTAATGGGTTTCATGTTTCTAGCCTATTACAAGATACTACCCAGAGGGTAACAATTTCTTTTTCTCAGTGCATATATTTAGCTGAATCACTTCGGGTTCCTAAAATGCACATAAATCAGCTTTCTTCATTTCAAATCAGTATCATTTGATTTTTGTCCTCACACAAGTCATTTTTCAGACAGTTGGCTAATAGAAATCTTTGTACTTATAGTAAGTTTGGAAAATTGGAGCTAGAACTTGAGGGCCAGAATACTCTTTATATTTCAAGGTAAAGTAACGCTTTATAGGAACAAACACATCTTAAATCATCACATGGGTAAAACTGGTGGAGCTTCAGCTAAGAGCGCGTGTAATTTTCCCTTCATGCTGGAAGCATTTTCTTTCTGACATGAGAACTAGTGCTCTTTCCTCACTTCCCTTTCAGACACCTACCATTTATATTTAATAAATGCCACTTTGGTGGCTCTCACTGTGTCAGAGGTCCCTTCTCCCATTTAGATTAAGACCAACATTTTCGGCAGCTGTCATATATCCCAAAGGAAAGTAGCTTATCTGATCATTAAATGTGAGAACAGGATTTTATTCAGGGTGTTAATCACTTCAAATGCATTTTCAAATGTATGGTGAAATAACAAAGGATTTTGAAAAGTCAGATCTCACAGAGAAGAAAAAGAGACAACAGAGCCACCCTCCTCTTTTTTTCTGCCTCTTGACATTTCTGGAGCCCTTGTGGTGCAGTGGTTAATAACTCTGGCAGCTAACCAAAAGGTTGGCAGTTCAAATCCACCAGTGGCTCCTTGGAAACTCTGTGGGGCAGTTTGACCCTGTTTGATAGGTCAACTATGAGTTGGAATCGACTTGAAGGCAACAGGTTTCTTTGTTTGTTTTTGGTTTATTGACATGTCTTAAGGCAACTGAATTCAAAGCTGAGACTGAATTCAGCAACTTTCAAGTGAGAGTCTCCAAATAAACTGATGTTCCACCTGGCCCCTGCAGAAGTGCCTTTCCTGCATTCAAGGAAAGTATCAGTGAGTGCAAGCTAAGACCAGAAGCCGTGGCAGATTCACAAATGCTAGAGGGTACTTTTAAAGAGACACCAAGAACAGTTAATTAGGACATCAGGAATCCCTGTCCAAGAAATACTAGTATTAAAGGAACACTTGGAGTAAAAAAAAAAAAAAATCTGCTGAGTCCTTCATTTTCACTTCCTGAGCTGCCAAGTTGGAAAATGCCAAGCAAAGCAAAACCACGAAAGTGCAAATGAGCTTGGGAAAGAATTACACAGCTACAACTAAAGGAAGGCTTGGTCTTTCTGCGTTCAGCTCCACCATTCACGGTAGTTTTCCTCAAAATGCAGACTCGAAGGAAGAATGTTGATGCTGTTGAGCACAAGCCTGGGGGCATTTGAAACAGTCTATTTAGTCAATACGTGGTTATGACTGGCAGTGGCAGTGATGTGCCTCTCATTCCCCCCACCCCAACTCATTGTTGCATGTCTTAATAATAAAATGTGTTTTGCTCCATGGCAAGATCTTTTTCTTTCTAAGCATAAGACATTTGCCATTCTAGGTGAAATCCTGTGCTTCACAGCTTCGGCAATCCAGATACTGTGTTAAAAAGAAAGAAAAACAGTTGCCATTGAGTCGGCTCTGATTCATGGCAACCCAATGTGTGTCAGAGTAAAACTATGCTCCAGAGGGTTTTCAGTGGCTGATTTTCTGGAAGTAGACTGCCAGACCTTTCTTCCTAGGCACCTCTGGGTAGACTCAATCTTCCAACCTATTGGTTAGCAGCGAGCATTTCAATTGTTTGCACCACCCATGTATAGGGACCCTGTATTAGTTTCCTCTGGCTGCCATAACAAAATACCACAAAGTAGAGGCTTGAAACACTAGAAATTAATAGTCTCACTGTTCTAGAAGCTCGTAGTTCGAATTCAGGGTGTCAGCAGGATCATGCTATCTCTCAAGGCTCTAGGGGAAGATCCTTTTTTGTCACTCAGCTTCTGGTAGCACCATCATCCCTCTCTGTCAGCTTCTCTATGTCTTTTCTCCTGTTTCATAAGGACACCACTCAGATAGGATGAGAACCCACTCTACTCCAGTATGACCTCATGTTTACTGATAACATCTTCAAAGACCTTATATCCAAATAAGGTCACACTCACAGGTACCAAGGGTGAAAACTTCGACATAGCGTTTTGGAGGACACCATTCAATCCAAAACAAACCCCAATGAGTTCCAACCTCTTAAATAAAAGTATTCCTGAGTTAGGATGCTTGCATCACAAATGTCTGCACTTTGCAATTTTCAAGTTCCCCCTGGGACATTGGGACTCCACCAGCTCCTTCCATGAGCTCTCCTGAGTGGTATATACCTAAGGCGTTCTGGGTCAGAAAGCACCATCAGTGCTATCTGTTGCTTACCACTTCCTCTCCCTTGCTGAATTTTCAGTGTGTTGTACTCTTCACTTTTTCTCACTAATTCACTCACTAGCTTCTCCTTTTTTTTTATTATTGTACTTTAGATGAAGGTTTACAGAACAAACTAGCTTCTCATTAAACAATTAGTATACATATTATTTTGTTACATTGATTAACAACACCACAACATGTCAACACTCTCCCCTTCTCCACCTTGGGTCCCGTATTACCAGCTTTCCTGTCCCCTCCTGCCTTCTAGTCCTTGCCCCTGGGTTGGTGTGCCCCTTTAGTCTCGTTTTGTTTTGTAGGCCTGTCTAATCTTTGGCTGAAGTGTGAACCTCAGGAATGACTTCATTGCTGAGCTGCAGGGGTTTCCGGGGGCCATACTCTCAGGGTTTCTCCAATCTGTCAGACCAGTAAGTCTGGTCTTTTTTTTTTTTTGTGAGTTAGAATTTTGTTCTACATTTTTCTCCAGCTCTGTCCAGAACCCTCTTCTATGATCCCTGTCAGAGTGGGCAGTGGTAGTAGCTGGGCACCATCTAGTTGTACTGAACTCAGTCTGGTGGAGGCCATGGTAGTTGTGGTCCTTTAGTCCTTTGGACTAATCTTTACCTTGTGTGTTTAGTTTTCTTCATTCTGCTTTGCTCCCAAAGGGGTGAGACCATTGCAGTATCTTAGATGGCCACTCATAGGCTTCTAAGACCCCAGATACTACTCACCAAAGTAGAATGTAGAACATTTTCTTTATAAACTAAGTTATGCAATTGAGCTAGATGTTCCCCAGGACCACAGCCCTCAGCCCAGTGATTTGGTCCCTCAGGGACTTTGGCTGTGTTTATGGAACTTCCATGACCTTACCTTGTGCAAGTTGTGTTAGCTTCCCCAGTACTGTGTACGGTCGTACCCTTGACCAGAGTTACCGCTTATCTATTGTCTATTTAGTGTTGTTTCATTCACACCCTCCCACTCCCTCGTAACCATCAAAGATTGTTTCTTTTTGTGTGTTAACCTGTTCATGAATTTTTATAGTAGTGGTCTCGTACAATTGTCCTTTTGTGACTGACTTATTTCACTCAGCATAATGCCCTCCAGATTCATCCATGTTGTGAAATGCTTTGCAGATTCATCATTGTTCTTTATCGTTGCATAGTACTCCATTGTGTGTATGTACCATAGTTTATTTATCCATTCATCTGTTGATGGGCATCTAGGTTGTTTCCATCTTTTTGCTATTGTG